GAAGTAAGTTGAAGACTAAGCTCAATAGCTGTGACATGGTTAAAAATAGCTGTACGGCTTAAGCATGGTAACTCATACTGCTCCACAGGAAGAATTACTCTCCTGGTCAAAATATTTGCCTTTTCAATGAGCTGAACTTTCAGGTCATCTGTTAACAATGTAGATTCTTTCCTGTCTAGAAGAACCTTATTGTCTCTCCTTTAACAAATAGCAGGGTATTGTTCCTAGCTGGTTGCTAATTCACACAATTATCATGTAAAAAACTTCCAAAATGCTGTATGCATTGCTTGGGTAATCACATATTTGGATTTAATAAATCTCATAGTTAATTCCTCTGCATGTGTAAAATAAAAATTAAACTTGTTTTTGTTATACCTTCTCCCCAGATCCCCAACCCTCCTTTCCCCTCTCTTTTCAGCCTTCCCTTCAAAACCACAGATGCATGTTACAACTGAGTGCAGGGTGCCTTTCATGATGAAAACACTTTTGTCCGATTTAGTAGACAATGTGTGTGAATGATGACTGTTTAGTTTGCCTTCCTGTATAACAGATAACTTCACTCCAAAACTCCTGCAACAGGACATCATATCGTGCTTGAACTAAAGGCATCTTTTTAAAAAACTCACATATTTGTTTTCAATGACCTATCCAGAACACCTTTAAATAAGCTGTTCTGATAGATAATTGCCTTCAGTTTTACATTTTTTTCTGTTTCTAGAAGAAATTCACCTTTCAGCTTTCGGCTCCTGTATTTTGTCATACCATTGCCTACTACACCTGAAGGACTGATCTGTCTGAATTCTTTGGCTCATGTAAGTACTTACAGGTCAGTCACTTCCCAAACTTCCCTTTGTTAAAACTAAACAGACTAAGCTTCTCCAGGCTCTTACCATAAACAAAGGTTTGTTCATTTACTTGTTTTTAAGGCTTTTACATGTTAAGCCTCACGAGTTTAAGGTTTGACGTGTTTTTTCTGCATCTTCTTAAGTTTATCTAGGTTTTAGGGTTTCTTGCATCTTAAGCTCAAGCAGGATGTAATTTCCTAACATCACTTGAGCTATACAACAAAATAAAAGCACACCTAACTCCACTTGAGATGCTCTCTATCCATACCAAGAAACTGCACTGTGCATTTTAGCCACTGCATCGTATCACTGTACTACTCCTTTCCAAAGTACTGGTCTCCATCCTACATGTATGATCTTACTGTCTAGACAGATATATTTAGCTATATTAACATATGTTGAAATGATCCCCATTAACTAAGTACAGACCATCCTTCACACTTACTAATCCATCCATTTTTTGCACGAATGCATTTTACCAGAGATTATATTCTATTTTCCTCCAGATCATTATCCAAATCCTTAAAGCAATGGTCTGTGAAAAACTTGTATGAAATCCAACATGAATGTCCTTCATCTATTACTGCTTTATGATCTGCCAATTAACCAGTTTGAGATATATTTAATAAGGGCCGTGTTGACTTAGCAAAGAGCTAGGTTTTAAAAATCAGAATACCATGCAGTACTGCATCAATATGAAGGCTTACTGTACCTACACAAGTATCTTTGTCAACCAAAAACATTCAGTCTCATAATAAAGAAATAAATGCAGACACGTTCTAATCAACACAAACAGCTGGGCAAGCAGTGACTCTGCTTTTTTCAATTTTCTGCTAATTCTCATTTCAGTCTTTCCACGGTTCTTTCTGTGATCCTTATCAACCTGTCCAGTCTAGTATTAATGTTATATCTTGGCCCATCCTATCTCATTTACACTTCTACAACAATTAAACTAAAACAAAATACAAAACCCAGTATCTTAGATGCCTTTAGTTGCTTGAGTGTATGTTTGCTTGTTTTAAATCCTGACTGCTGTAGATTACAGAAAAAATAAATAAATTTGTTTGTTCCTACCAGAATAAAGAAGTATTTTTGTAAGTCACTGGAAATTGTGAATATAATATCCAGATATTCACCAAAGAACAATAATATTTTGACTCACAGCATGTTTTTTAAAGAATCATAGAATAATTTTTTTAGCAGTATTTTAGTCTCTTCTCAACTATTATTGTTTACCCTATCGAGTAGATGCATATCACTACTGGCATTTTGTTGCTCTAAATAAATAAGAGAATTTTCATATTGTTTTTAACCCCATTTATAGAAAGTTTATGACTAGTGCCGATATAGAACCATTGAATTGTTAGGGTTGGAAAGAACCTTAAGATCATCTAGTTCCAACTCCCCTGCCATGGGCAAGGGACGCTTCACACTAGACCATGTCGCCCAAGGCTCTATCCAATCCAGCCTTGAACACAGCCAGGGATGGAGCATTTACCACTTCTATGGGTAGCCTTTTCCAGTGCTTCACCACACTCACAGTAAAGAATTTCTTATATTCAACCTGAACGTCCTCTTTTTAAGTTTTAACCTGTTACCCCTTGTCCTGTCACTACAGTCTCTAATGAAGAGTCCCTCCCCAGCATCCCTATAGGCCCCCTTCAGATACTGGAAGGCTGCTATGAGGTCTCCATGCAGCCTTCTCTTCTCCAGGCTGAACAGCCCCAACTTCCTCAGCCTATCTTCATATGGGAGGGGCTCCAGCCCCTTATAATCTACTATAAATGGTCTTTTTATTGAGACTGCTAGTAGCCGCTCCTGCTTACGGCATTTTCTCTGAATCTTCATACATCTGAATTTTTCACCTCTGCCTTACTACACTGACAGTTTCACACCTACCTCTAATGACTTTTCTTTGTAAGAGTTACAAATCTCCTGGGTAACTTTTGTTTTAAAGTAATATAACTTTGAGACAAAACTGTTTTCTTCATATTTATAGCAAAATCTGTATAATGTCATTTTTAGGAAATCATCTTTTTAGAAAAACTGATTACATATTAGTGGCAAGGCCTCTAATGGACAGAGCAGATTCAAATAAAAAATGATAACTATTTGTGCTGATTGTTTTCATGGAAGTGATCTTTCATTTAATTTCATTTTTGCTAGAAGAATAAAGTTGAGGAAAACAGGATTTCTCATTCTCAGGAAAGTGTGATGTACGACCTGCACATATTAGAAATTCCAGGAAAATTTTATTAACCATCACCTAATGTAATCACTCTGAAATAATAATGCATAGTTTCTTTGCATCTAGATATTTAAAGAAAGATTCCCCTGTCACATAAATCACAGGAAATTATGCCTTTATCTCTGTAAAATGAAAGGTCAGACCTTACAGAACTTTCTGAGGCACCTTTCTATCCTTAAGTGTACACTTTTTTTAGTTGCTTATACCTTGCAAATAGTCAAAAAAATAGAATGCAATGTTTTTACCCTTGCTTTCTGGAAGTAACAAAACTGGTGCACAGGCTGACTGTTAAAACACTGTCAGAATGGAACCACAAAGGATAAATGGAAGGGCCAACAATAATGGCCTGATTTTATAATTTGGTTTTGCTCTTAATAAAGTCTGGCATGCAATAAAAACTGGCACAGTGGTATTCTGTTTGACTTAGTAATTTTCACATATGTAGTCTAAAGTGTTCTGTGTTGGATTTTGGTTTTGTTTAAAATACTTTATTGGCAAGTATGTAAATTGGAATATATTGGACTAAGTTTCCAGACAATGATCAACAGAGTTTATTTTTTTTTAACTGGCTGTAATCTTGGTTTATACTTTAAAATTATTTATTTAATAATTTGTTGGGTTGGGTTTTGGTTTGTTTTTGGTTGGTTTTTTTTTTTTTGTTTACTTTTTTGTTGTTGTTTTGGTTTTTTTTTTTAAACTTTTTTAAAAAAGGATCAATGCCATTGTTGGCAATGCCATTAAATTGTACTGGTTTAGAAGCAAAGCACAACTTTTAAATTTATTGTTTTAACAGGTGCATGTAGCAATGAGTCATCTGAATATACATTCATGCAATCTTAATTTTTGCATGCTACACCCCTGAAATAACCAATATTCTATTCTATGTTTTTATACCACATACAAATGCAGACCACATTTCTAGTAAGTATATAAAATCATTTAATAAGAGAAAAATGTCTTTTAAATGCTGAGTACACAATCTCTTTTTATCATCATATTTCATATTTAGAAATAATCACAGAATCATAGAATTGTTAGGGTTGGAAAGGACCTTAAGATCATCAAGTTTCAACCCCCCTGCCATGGGCAGGGACACCTCACACTAAACCAAGCCTTTTCTAATTAACTATTAGCTACACCTATACAATTCACAGAATAGTTCTGCTTAACATAAACAAAAATAAGTGGCCTACACACAGAGAGAACTGAGAACATTGGATTTTGGGCACTTAAACTACTTTGCTTTTTTCTAAATTCTCACTCAATTACTAGCTCTATGTTCCCAAATCTTTCCATAATAGATCACTAGCCTTGTAGTCTTTAGCATTAAGAGATATTTTTCTTTCCTAACCAGTTGTTATTTATATGCTGGAAGGAGTTAAAGAGCAACATAGTTTACTTTCTCCTTATCAGTTTTCCCACCTTCTCATAAACATGTTCAAAGTGAAAGTAATTTGTTCCTGCCCATGAAACCGAAACCAAAAGTAATTAAAGTGCAAGTTTTTCTACCCAATAGATATTGACAGCACTTATACTTTGAAGTTTAATTCCATTGAAGGGGCTAAAATAATCTTTATGAATAACAGCATTTCAAATGAAATGCAGCTTAAAGGGAGCTCAACTATGAGGAGACATCCCACTCCATGCCCACTGCCCACTTAAAGAATAACCAGAATCCTTAGAAAGAAATTATACTTTTAACTATGTTTGTATATCACACCCCCATCTTCAGACTGGCATCAGACAGTAATTATAACACAACCAAGGCAGGCAGGCAAAAGACAAGCTTACAGGGCTGCAGAATATCCCTCGCTTGTGGCACACTGAAAGTAACAAAAAGTTTCAGCAAGCTTTGTAACTGCTATCCTTAAATACAATGCAGACAACTGTTAATAAGTAGCAGTTACCTGGCACTGAGGAGTAACTGGAATCCCAAATTGTTGCAAACAGGAGTTTTCCATTTACAGGTTAAAGCAGAAGCCCAACCAGCTACTAAAACTACACAGCACGGCATCTTCTGCTCTGAACATGATCACCAGATCTCTCGGTGCAATCCCTTTCTCGGGAGCACTGCTCCTCTCCTGCGTGGTGTGGCACGACCTCAAGGTGCAGTCCAGGAATATGGGCTCTGTGATTCAGCACAAGCCAAGGGCAAGAAGCTGTGCAGCCACACTACAAGTCAGTCCAGCAAGATGATCCAGCTGAAAATTAAACATGCAGTTTGATGGATTTTTTTTTTTCTTTTTAAACAGAGCCAAGCCATTGCTGCAACACCCATCACATCTACCCAGATTTTTCTCCTGCCTCCCTTCCAGTATGCCATATATTCCTGCTCCTTTACTTGAAGTGGCACCTCTGAAGTGGTTGGATTTCAACCTCAAGTCAGTCTGAAAACTGCCAGCAAACTATTTCTACAAAAGCACTGGGTAGCCTTCAGCTAGACAGCCTTCCTTAAATGGCATTCACCTGACCCTGTGACACAGATCAGTGCCACTGCAAAGGAAGGGGGAAGAACGAGTGGCTTGTTGAAGGAGGCAGTGGTGACAAGCAAGGCCTATAGCACTTCAATTTGCTTAAGTTGTAGAAAACAGAGCCCTCAGACTCCCACTTGAAAGTGGACAAGGAATAGATGGTCTTCTTCCTTAATATTTAAGTTTCAAACCCAGCTTCTAGATATCACACCACTCAAAGAAACATTAAAGGAAAGTGAGTAAAACTGACACAAATGCTGCTGGTATACACAAATTTCCCCACGTCTCAGGGGTCGCTTACTGAGGCTGGTCTGTGTCTCAACAGCACGAATGACCTTCCACACCAGCTTCATCATCCTGACAAGTATGTGCATGGACATGCACTGAAACAGACTGAGGAACTGATTCAACCAAATGACCATTTTTGGAGGCAGGGTTTTTTTGTTTTGGGTTTAACTATGCCAGATTGATTCTCCAATCCTCCTAGCACATGACCAAGCTGCTCTTCTGGCTCATTGGAAGGAACAGCTGACTGTTTGGAGGAAAGACCTGCTGAAGTCAATTACAAAGCACTGCCACCCAAACATCTTCTGACATTGAACGTAAAATGAAGTAAAATGCAACAGTTATGGTTTAAAAGCAAAACTTCAGATTTGTTGATCAGTTACTGTCACTCAGTAAACAAACCTTAAAACAGACCATAGTAGCTCAGCGCTGTGCCTAAACACTTTATACTTCGACATCAAAATCCCTTAATAACTTTCACCTGTTAACACAGTTTACAGTCCCAAGGGAATGCTGTAATGAATGAAAAATTTGGTATTATACTTTAGGTTCAGAAGACAGCAGAAAAAGGAAAAAAAAAACCCAAAACCAAATCCTGCTGCGCTTAGGAGGCAACATTTAAGTATACTCAACTGACTAAATTAACCTGACTATCCTTTCTACACCTCTTTGTAGAGAAAGGGGATGAAGCCTGATGACCTTCCAGAGAAATTTTACTTAGAAGGTTTGAATGGCCTTCTGGAGGACACTCATCACTGATTACAGAGGATATCAAAGATAACACTTAATTCTAGTTAAATATCTCTCTGCAGTTAGCTCCACCAAAACCAAACCACACCAACAACATAAAAAGGAGACAGGTTTGTCTGTCACTTGTACTTCCAGCACAGCTTCTCTCTCTAAGACCCAATCAGCCTTTATTCTAAGATGTTCTGACAGTACTTACTTGGGGGAGAAAAGGGAGGAGAAAAAAGGCTTTACTCTGCTTGTGCTTTGGTGCAGGGACTCAAACTTTGTCAGGGAGATGAGCAAATGATTAGCAATCACCTCTGAAATATTCAGTCTGAGTGATATGCTCAGTGCCAGCCTGTGACAGGGGAAAGAGAGTTACATTTTCCAAGAGATTATCCACGTGTCCTAATGATGAGATCCTCCATTTTTCCTGAACAACCAGTTCCTATTCTACAGAAGATAAGGCAGTTATACCAGGATATGCCTTTTTTCCCCTACATAACAAAGTTCCAGTTTCTTGCTCAGAAAAATAAAAATCATCCTTACTTTACAATCATTAGACAACTAATTCCACACTGAAAGCGCCCTTTTCTGAAGAAGTTGCATGGAAAAAGATTTTTCTGGTGGTTTGACTGAAAACTACAGTATTGGGAAGGCACTGGGAAGGTAGAGCTGAAACAATTGACAAAAAGGACAAAAGATGAAAAGAGAGCATTCATTTAGTGAAAAGCAGAACATAAAATGGTGTTTTCACAGTCCAATGACTACTTTCTTCTTCCACTTCTCATAATTTACTACACCTCAGTGTACTTTAAGACTTTAATTAGCATACAAAGACCTAAAATCCTTCCCCCAAAATTAATCACTTCTAGTCACATCTTAGTTCAAGCTTCATAAACATAAATGAGTGTATATAAGAAAAATAAGAGAGCCAAATAAAGCATTATTTTACTAATGGAAAGAATAAAACCACATAAATACATGAATGTATATATATAGGTCAAGATACTGACTCATTAATTCCCATTATTTACAAAAACATCCATCATGAGGGAGCAAAAAAGTCAAAGGACATTTTTACTTGACAATAAGAGTGTCATAATAAAGAAAATCATTTTCTTACATTTAATAGCTTTGATTAAAAATATATATGTTCAAGTGCAGAAGATTAAATTCTTTAGAATAAACTAGGTTGTAATTACTTGAGTAAGGACTTATATGTTGAATAATTCAATTAATATTGAATATATTCAAATAACATAGATCAATTAAAACAGGAACTTCCCATTTCACAGACCAATACCAGTAAACAATGACTAACTTACATCTTCACTTGCACAGAGAAAACCCAAACACTACTGAAGTGTGACTTTAATGACAGCTGTCCCATCACTCCTTGCTTTTCACAAGTATCCAAAGGTACGAAGAACTAGAGCATAGCAAACATTTTTATCTGAAAAATGGGAGAAAATAACACAGGAATAGGTATAAACAAATAAAAGTAGCTTCATCTGTCACCATGGGTGGATCAAAATTCTATGATTCTAAGACCTGACATCCATGGGGACACAAACAATATGAGGTCCCTGTACTCGTTCTATCTTTTTACTAAATTCATGTTTTGTCACTAATGGCAGCAGAGGAAACCTCCAAAACCACCATCTTACTCAATATGCTTGCTCTGCATTACACCAGTTTCAAGGCAAAACTGAACTTAAAATTGAAATCGATCCTTGTAAAGAATTGGTTTTAAAGATAAGGCATTTTAATGATTATCTCAACAAGCCTTTTCTTAAAAAAATCCAATAGTCAAACAACCCTGCTATTAAATCTTTACTGATAAGAAAGCAGAGAAGCATAGCATGGTTTGTATACAGTGACGACACACATATCCTGCTGATGAAAAAATGAGCAAGATCTCATGCTTCTGTGGTTTTAAAGATTTATGGAGTAGTAGTCCTTCATGTCCATTGGTTTCTGTAGTCACTGCCATAAGCTGTCAATTCAAAAACTGCTGAATGCACTGGCTTCCATGTTTTAATACTCCTACAATGCTACATTTTAAAGAATCATCCTTAAATACAACAATTTTCATCTTCTCATTCAAAACCTAATATTTTATTCTTGGATAGTTCGAATAAAATGCACAAATAAAGCACAAATCTCAGGAGATCTGATGAGTACAATGTGGGACAAAACTATTCAAATTTAGGAGCTGCCCTTATACAAGAGAGATGCCTCTAACATGAGTGAAATCTGAATCACTGATGGATCTTTCAAAACAGGACACTACCTTATCTCCATCAGCATAGGGAAAAAAAGTCTTTGTTGTTACTGATCATGATTCCTTGACGACTGGGTGAAAATACAGCTTTTTCCACTGTTAATTCTCTGGAAGTCATGCCTTTCAAAAGTCATATGATAGTGAACTCATCCTAGCCTTCTGTATTACATTGTCTAATGGACATTTTTTCCAAATTAAAAAGATAGATAGAGAAGTGTCCTTTACACTCCCACTCAACACATACCCATTACTATCTGATTGATGCTATCAGATCAATACACGAAGCACATAACACTAAGCATATGAACCACACAAAGGAAAGAAGAATTTGAGAACAATTTGTGAGCTGGGCTCTAACCTTCCCTAGCCATTTCCATGCACTGTAAAGAACCTGGCGTGCACTGACAGTTTGAATTTTAACTTTGAAAATTTTGACCTTACTATATCGTAACTGAAAATTGATTGATCGATTTCACTAAAACTGCACTAACTTAGAACTTCTGTTGCCCTTAGGAATATCTGGACATCTAGTTATTCCTTCAGCTGCAGAGGATGATGGTGAGCTGTTCCTAGGGATGCCTCATCAGTCTTCCAGATGAAAAAGCTCTACAGCGTCACTTTGAGGAAGCATGAGAAATTGTTTTAACTGGAAATGCACACTCAACTGTCGAGTTGCTTTGAATACATCTATTAAGAATAACTCCCAATCTAATTCCACAAGAAGCAGACTAAGTTTAAAAGCTCAAGGTTCTCAGTCTAGTGTAAACATCACTGCTTTTATTGTCTTTCTTTGTTCTTAGAAAGCACTGTTAATCAAAGATCGAGTTTGGTCCTTATCTGTGACCCAAAAAAGTAAGAAGAAATGTGCCAGCCCATCCAAGAGTGTAGAGTTACTGTTTGGCTAAAAACCTACAGAGAAAAAAAAAATCTCTGGTTTTTTTTTTTTTTTCACTCTTTAAGGAAAAGTTTTCCATGTATCTTCCTGATTTTAGAAAGATTACGCTCCATACAATCTACTATAGTTTATACTTAAGTCTCATAAAATAGTATTAATTTCAAATAATGAAGTTAATTCTTAGAATTATTATTACACATGCTATTGCAATTTGTTTTATTCTGTGGCCATATTTCTCTCTTTAGATTTTCTAGACTAGGAGTCTACTCACACAAAGCAGTTAGCTACGCCTTATTTTGGCATACAGACCTTAAGCATGTGAAGTCTGCACTGAAGACTTTGCTGATATCTAAAGCGTACACAGCTGATTATTTCAGATTTCACTCAGAGTTGGTGTTTCTGTTTTGGTTGATCACATACGCTAACATCCTCTTCTTGAGAATTACAGTTCAAGTTAATACATTGTTCAGGAGCAGGAATATATTCAGTGATTATGACTCAGAAAAGACTTGTGCAAACACCTTAAATTCTACCACTTGAACAAGACCCCAGCAAGTATCTAGTATATTGTCTGAAGAGAAACAATGACAGTTGAGCCTGACTAACCACTGTGCTAAGACAAGTGAGTGACCTGGCAGTCATACCATACTCCTGCTTACCACACCCTGCCAGGATCAACAGAAACATGCACGGCACTGCTCTTTCTGCAGACGTGCCCACCTTTGGGCGCAGGGACTGAAGGTGGGCTCTGGTCATCTCGGGAACTCAGGCCATGCTGCTGGCATTTCATAACCAAGGCTGAAATCTGCCTTGGTCCCAACAAAAGTAACCATGAAAGCTCCTGATGATTACTGCTGTGCCACATTTACCATTCCCCCCACCCCCCCCATCCCCCCCTACAGTAAGACATCACAGATCTGTGATAGGAATCACGGTGCTGAACTGGATGGAAATTTTTGTGTTACTACATTTAGACTTACATTCTCATGAGTTTAGTTTTAACCTTTTGAGGCACCTAGCCACTAAAATATGATGCAAGAGTCATGCTTTGTTAGCACGAGCTATGTTTTAAATATACATGTAAGTGGGGAAAATCAGGTGCTGAAATCAAAGC